ATATATATATATATATATATATAAGGTATATTTCAAATGCAATCATGTTCATTTGTACAATTAATACAACTCAATCAATTGATATATTTATAAAAATGATGAGAGTTCATTTATTATGATTTGAATATTTATGAAAGATGATTAGAGTTTATATATATATATATATATATATATATATAATAACAATATCCTTTTGAATTTAAAATATATGTTTTCTTTATAAAAAAAATAAGTGAAAAGGATAAAAGTATACATTCAACAAAGCACACACACACCCATTTGGATTTTTGCTTTACTTTTTTCTCCATTTCATGGTGTTTCCTTATCAATTGCTTACTTCATCATGTAGCTTTCCTTTTTAAACATTCTTTATTTTTATTATAAGCTAATTAAATTAAATACTAATGCCCTTTTCTTTTATATATATATATATATATATATATATATAGAAAAGATATTTTAAATGCAACTCATTACATTTGTACAATCAATGTAACTTAATCAATTGAGATATTTATGGAAATTATAAGAGTTCAGATATTATAAACTGAATATTTATGGAAGATGATTGTGGTTCATTAATTATGATCAATACTTTATATTATGAAAGAATCAAAACTTTTATGAAATCACATATTCATCAAATTAAATGGACGGTTGAGATCGAGTTGTATTGGATGTATAAATGTAAAAGGTTGTGTAATAACTCACTTATATATATATATATATATAGAGAGAGAGAGAGAGAGAGGKTGGTTATTATACAACCTTTTACATTTGTACAACCAATACAACTCAATCTCAACCATCCATTTAAATTGATGAATATGTGATTTCATAGAAGTTTTAATTGTTTCCTAATATATAAAAAAAAAACTTGAGATTACGTGAAACCAGCCTGTTTTTGTGAGATTACCTTTTTACACTTGAAACTTTACAACAAAATGCTGTGAAGGTAACATTCACAACATTTTTGCTGTAAAGGTTCGATTATTTTTACTTTCACAGTCTTTTGCTATGAAATTTCAAGTGTAAAAAAATGGTTTTACGGATATTACGAATAAAATAAAATTGATGATGTATGGTAAAGAAGATGAATTGACGTGGAATCTTTAGGGGACAATTACTTGACTCAACCGTCCACATAATGACGTAAGAAAAGTCTCATCTCCTTTGTGAAATTCAGGTCACGTGCCATCACGTGCTTATCTTTTTAATAATTTACATTCCATTTTTTAATAGTAATTTATAAGGCTTAAATAAAAAATTTTGAAAATGGGCCCCTCAAATGAAATAATTTCGTTACGGATTGAATCCCTGCCTTTTAACTCTGTTAAAATTTAAGGGTCATTTACCAAACACTTATCTAGTAAGTTTTTATTGGTACAATTTAACATTATTATTTATTTATCGGGTAATATTTTAGTCCATTAAAACGACATCCTATGCAACAATTTATCCGGTAAGCGTTTACCACGGTAATAGTCGTCGCCCTCACTTACCGGGTAAGACTCTTGGTCCTTATCTCGCTCTTGCCAGATAAGATTATTGGTCCTTACCATATTCATTAAGTAAGTAATCTGACTTGGTAAGCACTTACCCAGGTGAGCGTTTGGTGAACGGCACGTTAGTTCGGTTATACCATGTGCATTTTGGTTCAATTTTGGTTCAGCATCAAGATGGTCAGTAGACGATGGAAGTTGGAGTTCTTAGACCTTGTGGCTACAGCTGGGTGCTTTCAGATCATCCTATTAATTGGAAAATGACTACAAATCATGCACCGTCCAAAAGACGATCTCGTAGGAGATGGTGATAGCCGGAGTAAGTGACGAAAGCGAGCGATGGCGATGGCGATGGCAAAAGAAGTAGGTGGGGTGTCGTTATTGTCTAACCTTTCGGATGAGTTTTTCGTTTTCGTTTTTCTTCTTCATCAAATGGTTTTACACCAGTACACCTAACCTTGTACAACAGTTATTTTACTTCTAATTTAACTGATATAAAGTTAACAGAGTTAGGTCAAGGGACCTAATTCATAAAAAATATGAAACCACGATGACCATAACTGTAATTAGTTTCTTTGGGAGACCTAATCCATAATTTTCGTATAAGCACACGCACGATTAATCTCAGGGCGACTACCTGCTTTGCAGATAGTATCAAACTTTTTTTGTTCCTTAGTGAAACGAAAAATACACTTGAAATAGTTTCTAATGATGAAACAAAACATGTGAAACTATCACATTATGAAACAAATACATGTGAAACAATATTTTTAAATCATATCATTTGATGGAAAAAAAATCATGTAAAAAATATTTTTAAAAATCATTTGATTTGGACCAATATATATTTTAAAATTTTAACAATTAATTTAAAACACGAGTAAATTACGTTTTTGTCCCTATGTTTAAAATTTCTATTTTCGTCCTTTTGATTTTGAAATGTACGATTTTCATTCTTATAGTTTACAATTCCTCGTTGTCTTCGTTTTTTATAGTTTATAATTTATTGTTGTTTTCCTTCCTCTTACTTAAAAATAGAAGTTAGTTGTATAGATGAAAGTAGCAATGAATTGCTAATCATATGAATGAAAACTGCAATTTTAAAACCATAAAAAAAGTAGCTGTTTTTTTATTAACCTGGATATTCAACCCGTTACGCAAGCCGACTAATCTCATGGCAACCACCCGTTTCGCAGGTAGCCCGGAGTCACTGTATTTGAACCTCCGTGGCCACAAGGTGATTTTTTTTTCTTCCTAGGATTCGAACTTTAGACCTACAACCATTGGAGTTTAAGCTCAAATGAATCGGACACCACCCTTATGGTTGCTATTTTTAACAACCCATAAGGATGAAAATGTAATTTACTCTCGAGACATTTTCACCCACAAATTATTTTGTACACTTTGCCATGTTGAAATACATTTCAAATAATTATCGGGTAAAACTTTTGGTCATTGTCTCATTCTTACCGGGTAAGATTATTGGTCCTTACCATATTCATCCGATAAGGTAATGTGACTTGGTGTTCACTTACCCGAGTAAGCGTTTGGTAAACAGCCCCTTAATGATTTAAATTTTTTTTCGAAAATAATTATGACATAAGTAAAACTAGATTTTAGAGAAAGGTAAATGGGCAAATTCGTCAATATTTTTTTCGATAAAAAATATTGTAAACGTTTGTACCATGTGCATAATAATTTGAACTTGTTATTGACAACTTCATAAGACGTTAAAATGATGATAATAATAATAATTTAATAATTCAAATTACAAAAAGGAAAAAACAATCATACATCGAGTTAAATAAGAGTTATTGAGGTTAAATTTGAAGAGTATGAAATGCTATATGACGGTGAATATGATACCATTTAACCACCGATTTTACCATCATCTCCACCACCAGCACCACCACCTAATCCCCCTCCAATTCATTTGCCTCCACCTCCGCCTCCACCAAAGCCTCCACCACCGCCACCTATTCCTCCACCGAATCCACCACCAGCGCCCCCACCAAACCCGCCACCACTACTTCCGCCGAAGCCTCCACCTGCCCCACCACCAAATCCTCCACCAGATCCTTTTCCGATACCTCCTCCAAATCCACCTCCGGAGCCATTGCCTCCTCCAACACCACCTCCACCAATTCCACCGCCTCCTCCTCCCCCACCGCCCATACCTCCACCACCTCCTCCAATGCCTCCTCCGAAACCTCCTCCAACTCCTCCTCCGGACCCACCACCACCGCCCATGCCTCCTCCACCACCACCGCCCATCCCACCACCTCCTACTCCTCCACCGCCACCAATTCCTCCTCCTGTCCCTCCACCGCCACCAATCCCTCCTCCTGTCCCTCTACCGCCTCCAATCCCTCCTCCTACTCCTCCACCAGAACCCCCTCCAATTCCACCTCCACCACCACCACTATCGCCACCTCCCTTTCCTACTCCACCACCAGAACCTCCACCAATTCCACCTCCAGCTCCACCACCATCTCCCTTTCCTATTCCTCCACCAGCACCACCACCACCACCATCTCCCTTTCCTATTCCTCCACCAGCACCGCCACCACCTCCAATCCCACCACCTTTCCCTTTCCCTTTCCCTTTCCCAATTCCACCACCACCGCCATTTCCCTTACCAATGCCACCGCCACCACCTCCTCCTTTCCCTATTCCACCTCCACTACTACCACTATCATGACCATGGTGGCTTTTCTCCTTCTTGTTATGCTTCTTCCCTTTATTGCCACCACCTTTTTCTTTCCCAACACAATCAGGTTTCACAACTTTCTTATCATCACCCCCAATCGTAAAACCCACCCCATTTCCAATCCCAAAACTAAAAGAACCACCACCACCACCGCCTCCACCCCAACCACCACCACCGCCTCCACCAAATCCCGGCTGATCATCAACAAACCATTCTGGCTTCTTTACATCATCCCCGCCACCACCACCTTTCTCCACCGCCACCAACTTTCTTCCCTCAACACAATTTCCCACAAACAAAGCAAACAAAAATCCCACAAAAACACCACTTTTAACACCACCACACCCCATCATTAAAATTGGTATATCCCATAATGATGATAAAAGGGGCTTATATATACATTTTTTTTGTAAATACAAATTTAATTTTCTACAACTTCTCAACTAAAATTTACACTTTTTCCAAAATTACTTATTAAAATATTATTAGTTACCTCCCAACCAATCCAACTCTACTACCCATTCATCTACGTGACTAGCTTCATATTTGCATTCAAAGCCACCGTACACACATGCACTTTCTCCTCTTTTACATTCATTTTTCTCAATTAAAATAAGAAAATTTATTAAAATAGCTGTTTTTCAGGGTTGGTTTCATCTCTTAGTCATTTTTACTGCAAGTTTATCAAAACAGCTATAGGTTCGCAAAAACTCACGTCCATAATTGAAGGCCCAGTTAAACGACGAAAGAAAATTTTACTTTTTTTTACCCGTATCTGCAAAAAAAAATTACATTTCTCACTCAGGTTTGCAGATATATTTTTCACCCAGGTCTGTAAAAAAAATTAAAAATTTGTGAACGTAGGACTATTTTGGTAAAGCTTGTAAAGAAATGACTGAGAATGGAAACCAATCGGTAAAAATAACGATTTTAATTAAATTTTCTAAATATATCCAAAATATCCATATTATTTATGATACAATTATTGATGTCAAAATTAATAAAATATTGAAGGTGTTTGGTATCCAGATATGATAGGATGAAACAAGACTAAACAGAATAGAACATGTGTTCAACATGTGGTAAGACAAAACTGGACACGACAGAACAAATAAAAAGATCAATTTACTCTTAATGAGTTGTTTATATATTTTGATTATTTTATGTAATTTATTAAATTAGATAAAATATATATATTTTTATAACAAAATATATCATTAGATTGTTTTCGTGAAGAAGATTAGAATGACACAAAAACAAAAACGTTTATGTAGTTTTCAATTTTTATTTTATACATTTTATGTATTTTTATTATTATTATTATTATTATTAATACTTAATAAATTGCATAGATTAATCAAATTATAGAAACCGTATAAAAAATTAGATTTTAAGAACGGTAAAAGTAAAAGTTTAAAGAAAATATAAAATACAATAAGTAAAATTTAAAAAATAAATAACATGTAAAAAGGGAGATGTATTTAATGTTTTAGAAGATAATTATGCTTTATTTTGAGATTAATATTGGTAAAAGTAGATATGTTCCACTCTGTTTACACATAAAAGTCCTATCAAACTGCCAATCAAGGGCAATAGAATTAAAGCAGATAAAAGTGTATGGAAAAAAATTCAAGGAGGAATAAAAATCCCCTTGTGGCCACGGAGGTTCAAATACGGTGACTCCGGGCTATCTGCAAAGCAGATGGTCGTCCTGGGATTAGTCGGCTCGCATAGCGGGTTGAATATCCAGGTTAATAAAAAAAAAGTCCTATCAAACGTGGAACACTGACGTCTGTTTTGTTATGTCTTATCATGTCATGTCCTGTGTACCAAACGCACCTTACAAGATATGTGATTGCATGAGCAACCACAATTTATTTATCCTTGTAAGCTACAAAGTTTTTTAAATACTTCAACAAGAATAACAGTTAATTTAACCACAAGGGTGGTGCCCGGTTGGTTTTTTTTAATTATATTCACATTGTTATATATTTTTTTCATCCATTTTTCAGTATTTTCACATTCTCAACTTTTTTACAGTTCATATTTAACTGTTCCTCTCAATATAGATCATATATAAACCATGTAAAAGACTTGAACAAACGTCTAATAGTTGATAAAATCAAGATCAAAAATATAAACCAGCAACACCAATATACAGTTTATGATGACACATAATTATACAACCCTGATCGTTGTTGACATTGCAGCAGTTCCGCCAATATCTCTTCATCAATTGGAGCACAAATTAGATTTCTTGAGGAATGTATCGAGATACAAATAAAACCCATGATTAAATTCCCAACACAAATTTAACGATTTAGACGATCTTTAGTAAAAAGTAAAAAACAACTTTGTTTTGGATTAACCTGGATATCCAACCCGCTATGCGAGCCGACTAATCCCATGACGACCACATGCTTTATGGGTAGCCCGGAGTCATCGCATTTGAACATATGTGGCTATAAAAGGGTTTTTATTCCTCCTTGGATTTGAACCTGTGACCTTCAAGCACTTTTAACTTTTGAAGCTCAAGTTTAAACCAATCAGACACCACTTTTATGATTTATTAAATAACTTATCCAAGTATTGGCTACCAAAAAGAAGAAAGTTAGAGGTTGGAAGGGGTTGTGTTTCATTCACCTCACGAGCCATCATTCAATTTGTTCCAAACCACCTCCTTATTTGTTCCCTTTCTATATTTTTATTTTTATTTTTATTTATTTTAAAATAAATACAATAATTGTTTATTTTTCGATTTTATTCTTAATTATATGATAGATAAATTAATTACTCCCTGTAATTCTATTATTATGATAAAACTATCTATTATGGGTCATTTACTTAAATGCTTACCTGGTAAGTGTTTAACATTGTGAGTCAACACTATAATTTATTTTATTGGGTAAGATTGTAGTACATCAAAACGTATCATATACAACAATTTACCTGGTAAGCGCTTACCCGAGTAAGAGTCATCACCTTCACTTACCGGGTAAAACTCTTCATCCTTATCATCGCTCTTACCGGGTAAGATTCTTGGTCCTTGTCATGTTCATCCGATAAGGAAAATTATCCGGTAAGTACTTACCGGATAAGCGTTTAGTAAACGGCTCCTTAGCATACAAAAATGTCACTTTTGATAGCAGATTTTTCTAAAAACAGAAATCAAAACATAATACATTACATGTTGATACAAATTGCATGAAAAAAGTAACGTACTTTCAAACTTTCATTTTGGTACCTAAGATGTAAAGTTTTAAATATTTAAGTACCCAGATAACCGGTTATCATATTGATATGGCGAGTGATGTGGTATCCAACTCAGTATTATTTTCTGAAGCATTAATCAGATACCACATCAGCATGATAACCGGTTACCAGAATACTTAAATGTTTAAAACTTTACATCTTAAGTACCAAAATAGAAGTTTTAAAAGTACGTTACCCAAAATATGGATCAAGTTAAAGTACGTTACTTTTTCATGCAATTTGCTCGATTGTTTATTTAATTCAATTACTAGAATATAAAATAAAAATACGATTCAACAATCATGAAGAAGAATCTGATTCGTTTATCATTTAAACTGTGTTTTAAGACGTTCAATTTTGATACGTGAAGTATCGAAAATTATTGTCTTAGAATATAATTTAAACAAGTGTTAAATAGATATTATGCATAAAAATGTGATAATTTTGAAAACTACTGCATCATGTGTTATTTAATATGATTTTTCAATCTAAAACTAGAATTTAGAATATTGATCAACATATATTTGTTTCACAATGTGAACCATTTTAATCTGTTTGTGAAAATAAAAAAGTTACACGTAAAAAGTTATCTGGTAAGAGGTAAACCAACCTCTTATTTTTCTTCAAATCCTCAATAACAGCATTTCTCAATCGATTAACCTTAATCGATCATTTCTCTCGATGGATCCTTACCAAATCAATCCACACCTCTCTCAATTAATGTATTTTAATAGGATGTATATGTGTTAAACACCGTCAATGACATATTTTCATTTAAATGAATGTTAATTATATATAACTTAGATGTAAATTCCGTAATGATGATGAATAAATATGTGAAATTGTATAAATTTATGTATAAATTCAACACTATAATTTTTAATGGGTAAAATAGACAATTTAAACAAATTCTGACGTTTATTAGTTTATGAAAACAAAGTCTTATTGATTCAGATTTCAGACTTTAAAACCCTGCTTATAAATTAGAAGTGAAATAAGACTTCAGACTTCAACACCTCTTAAAAAACAAACGTCACCTAAGTGTGTAAATTTTGCTATATATAAGTAATTAAATAACAACATGTAGTTATATCAACAAAGTTTACTTACTTTACCGGATGAGCATGGAAATGACTGATAATTTTACTCGGTAAGAGGTATATCAAGAACAAAAAATCTTACCTGGTAAGTAGGGATAAGATTATTAGGGGTCGTTTACCTAAACGCTAACTGGATAAGTATTTCCCGGTAAGATTCATCACTATCATGTGTCTTATCAGGTAATATTTTAGTCCATCAAAGTATGCAACAATTTACCCGTTAAACGCTATATCGGGTAAGAGTCATCACCTTCACTTACCAGGTAAGATTCCTGATCCTTGTCATCGCTCTTACTGGATAAGATTCTCAGTTCATCCTGTAAGGTAACATGACCTGGTAAGCGCTTACCGGAGAAGCGTTTGGTAAACGGCTCCTTACTCGATTAGCGGTTAACGAGTAAAGAGTGCTTACCAACAATCCATTTTGAGCCGAGAATGTTACCTGACAAGGTAATGGAGATTGGGAACTCTTGCCCATAAGCGCTTACCTATTAAGTGTTTGGCCCCTATAAAGCCTTAACCGGTCCCAACCAAGCCATAAGCCGAGAATGTTACCTATAAGCGCTTACCTATTAAGTGTTCGGTCCCAATTCCGATCCTTCCTCGAGCACAAACCCCTTTTGTCCATCTCTACTCATAAGTATGCTTACCACCTCTTTAATCATAAATCATTAGATGCAAAAAAAACGGTTGGTTTTAGCATCGCTCTTTCATTTACATCATAGAAACAATTGTTCTACTTTTTGGACTAGATGACATGTCTACATACAACCCACCCCCACATTCCACCAGATATGGACCGGTTTGGTTTGGTTTGGTTTGGTTTGGTCTTGTCTTTCCTTTTAATGATTATGTGACTTAAGCTCATAACTACCGAGGTCAAGCTTGGTATGGTTCTACAAACGGATGTCACAAAAACAAGCTAATCAAAAGAGAATCGGTCACAATTCTACAGTTGAAGAACCACGATCTAAGCTGTTAAGGATCATTGGCCCAGCAATACCTGGGTTATCGGTTGAGCCAGCCTCCGAGTCAAGGGTTCAAATCTTTGGTTGGTGAGAACTGAGAAGTATTCGTGAGTATTTGTTGTATATAAATATTATATATTTCAAAAAAAAAGGATCCAACTTAAAAAACAATTTACCCTCATAAGTTTATGGGAACTCCTAGTCGTTTTTCTGCTATTCAAATTCCTCATTACAAGCTTTGAGGGCTACGAGAAATACTATCTTAATTAAGAATAAGTTTAATTGGTCTGTTTTAAGGGTGCGATTGGTACACGAATGGACTGTACTAGTTGCGTGTCTGATTTAAGGAGAGTAGAAAACAACATAGGTTAAGAGGATATTTTGATGTATCAAATTATCAGCCCGACCAACCCAACCAACCCGTACGGGTTGGGTTGGGTTGGATTTTTGGATTGAGTTGGGTTGAGATTTTCAAACCGCAAACATTAGGTTGGGTTGTTCAAATGTCATCAACCCGATCAATCCAACCATGAGCACCCGTATGCATCATGATCAATTAAATGTATATGAATGCAATATGTTCCATAGAAATATTTGCAAAAATTCATGCTTTATAATAAAAGGGGACACTAAAATGCAAAAATGGATTCTGGAGTTGAAGAAAAGGAGCAAAAGGAGGAAACAGATCAGGCTTATTAATAATGTAGATAACATTATTATGCTTTACTTCAATACATATAAAAAGCTTCAAGGCAAAATACAAACAGCTAAAAAAAACTAACCTCCCAGATGAGGAAAAGAAGGAAGGAGGATGAAGACTTGATATGTAATGAGTTGCTGCAGCCATTGCTTAAGTTGCCATCCACCCTTTGAGGATGCTCTGCCACTGCTAAGAAGATGACTAGAATTCAAAGATTTACCAAAACAAAATTTGGATGTTGTTCTTAAAATAAGTACTTATAAAACTAAACTCAGTAAAACCCAAATAAATAGGGTCCCCCGTGCACGATACAATTCCATGGAGATCTCTCGGCTTGTAAAACATGTAAATTAAATTGTCAAAACACATAAGAAATGATTTTAAGGGATTTGGATTCCGTGGAAGGATTTTGAATCTTTGGTGTGTTTGGTTTGTAGGATTCGGAATGGAATTGAATTTCATTTTTTATAAATAATTTATAAAAACAAATTATAAATAATTATACAAATTAATTAAATTACCTTTTTATTAATTGATTATTACAAAACTAATGTTTTTGACATAATTTAAAACATTATTACATACAAATCCTATGAAATCTTGTGAAATAACAACCCCATAGGATTTCATAATCCTATGTTTGTGGGATTTCAAATCCAGGAAATCCTTCAAACCAAACATGGGATTGAAATGGAATTTAATTCCAAATCCAATCCAATCCAATCCTACAAACCAAACGTGAGTGTATTTGGAATCTATAATATATTTACTATTGCATCCCTATCCATCTTTGGTTTTTTCAACTTCTTAGCCTTATTTCACCATCATCACAATGTTTTTAATCAACTAATCTGCTCACTTTGTACAAAAAAATTCATTTTCTTTGTCAGGTTATCAAGGCATACTATAAAACAAGTATTCACTGCATATAAGAAGTTGGAAAAGTATTTTAAAATGTGAACTAAAATACACAGAATCGAGTAATGTCTACTGCTCAACCCTCGTTTCAAAAAGCCATAAGGAAAAACTATTCATTGAACAATCAAACACTCTCTCCTGGATGATTGTATGGATCGAGTAAGAGGTAAACTAAGAGCAAAGACAATACTCACAATAGTTAAACCTGAAATAAGGGCATTGAAATTAAAAGTTCTCCCCTATACTTTAAAACAAATCCTTTCTTGTTTCAAGTAAAAAATCTTACGATATGTTCAAAACCAACTAACGGATCAAGCATTGTATTTGAATAGTAGAATCAAGGGTTGAAATCCTGCAGCTTTAGGCATTTCTAAGAACATAATCTCTAACAGGGGTAATTGAAGAAGCATGATTAGGTTAGTAGAGTGGGGCGTGGATCGGTAGCTAGCATAGACAGAGCTATTGAGGTAGAGGATTGAAGGTAGTGTTAGTGAGTCAACAATTAGGTTACCAGAATCCCATGTTAGATTACGGGTGTGTGGTATTTCTTTCCCTGGTTGTGTTTTCATATACCTATTTCTACTTATATGTTGCTAATTCTAACTCGATTTTCTTGTTTCAGGTTCTTTTTCGAACTCCCACCTTCTGATATTCCCTCTATTTCTTTTGGGGAACTTTCTATCTTTGAGGGTAGAGGTCAAGTTTGCGTACACCTCCCTCCCCACCCCCACACCCAACTCCAAGGACCCGGGGGATATGTTTTTTTGGTTAAATATGTTAGGGCAAATCCATAATAACCACCAAAGTTACCACGATTCCTTTATACAGAAAAAAATATAAGTGCACATTATCTCCTACCTGCTAGTTGCTACATCTTTCTTTGAAAAAGAAAAAAGTGGTGAGTTTAGTGACAACATTTATGGTTGTCATAGATTTACTCGTTTTGCTATAACTCATGGATTCCTCATAATATGTTATCTACAAAACCCATAGTAGATTTTGATGCAATGGCACAAAGGGGAGACTTGTATTGGGAGTATGGAATTAGGAGAGCTAGGGAAGGTCAAGTTAACATGGTTATAATAAAATGGAAACAATGGATGCAATTCATCAAAGGATAAGCAAACACTATTGTCACCTTCGAATCACCGATTAAATGTTGCCATGTTTTGAATAATACTGGAAGCAACACGATGCATGCTTCAATCAGAAGTATAAATACCAAAATCAAATGACATAGACAATTTTACATGTAGCTTCTCACAACATGTTGGATATATGGTAATATTGGTATAGATTGAAGAGTTGCATTGCACAATATAGTGTTCTCTAAGAACTTATTGCATCTATAATCCACACATAATGATCAAATAAAAACAATAACTTGCAATAAACTCACTCTTTTAGTTGGAATAGTAATCAGACCGAGAAACTAATAAACCTTTCACTGAAGCTCAAAAAATAAGGAATAGAAAATTACCTGCTTATCCACTTAGATTCTCCACAGAATTAATGTCTTCATCATCCCCTTCCCTTATTTTTGCAATCTCAGCCTGTGCCCTCTCAAGAATCTGCTTCTTCTGCAGCTCCAACTCTCTCTGAAAATCCATCCTCATCTTCTCTAACTCCAACATCTGTTGTCTCTTTCTACCCTCAATCTTCTCATAAATCTCCCCAAAATTTTGAACTGACTCAGCCAGTAACCTAAATCCATCATCATCGTTCCTGTCATCTGAATCATCTTCATCAGATTCTGATTCCCCAGGACTATCCCTCATCTCATCCAAAGCATTCGATTGATTTAAATAAACTTTGGTATTCATAAACACATATTCCCCTGAATCAACCCCACAAGGCAAACCATTGTGTTGTTTCTTAGGAGATAACAGCATATCCATCTTTTTGAAGAACGCCCACTTGCCATGATACCCTTCTCCTCCTCTTCCCCCCATTCCCATATCCTCCATTTTCGCCTTCTCTTTCTTATACTTCTTTTTCAAAGTCTCCAACCTGTTCCTACACTGAGTTTCATTAATTTCCATTTTGCACATCTCTGAAACCTTCTCAGCAACCTCAACCCAATCATCTACCCTCAAACTCTTCCTCCCTAACTGCAAATATCTGTCCCCCCAAACCTCTAACAACACATATGTCGCATTTTCGCTCCACTCATCCCCTGACCTATCAGGAACGCCACCATAAACTTCTTTAGAAGCATTAACACTAGCACGTGGAGCAAATTCGTAATTCGAAACCAAATTATCTAATCTTCGCTTCTTTTGGTGACGCCTAGAAGACTCCCCTGTATCAATTCCACCTCCAGAAACCCTATAATACCCATGTTGATATTCATCCTCATCATCTTCTTCTTCTTCATCTTCTTGATAACCATATCTCTGGTTTATACCTTCATTATCTTCATCAAATTCATCATTTTCATACTCATTGTAAGTACTATTGCCATGGTAATTGTTATTGTTACGAACAGGACGTCTTGATCGAACCGATGGATTGTAATCCATTTATGAACCACTTCTGTATTGAATAAAAAAAATCAAAATATATTCATGAAACGAGTCACAAAATTCAAAAGCAACCAATACACAATACAAAACCCTACCTTTTACAGACGGAAAAAGGGGGAAAAGAATATATATCGATCCGCGATGATGAACCCTGATTTCGCATGAACCTTTCAAAATTGTAAAAAATCGTGAAAAGAATACTGAGATTTGATGAAAGTAAATGAAGCTCCCAACTGTTTGTTGCTAGGGTTTTCAAGTCGAATGGAGATTGCAAAGCGTGGGGCATGTAAGGATTGATGCTAACGTGCGCATGTGAGTTTGAAGTGCACGATTTGATATTTGCCTTTTGACTTTTTTGATGCCGAGCCAATCGTTTAGAGGAGTTGGAGTTTAGATTTTGACTTTTTACCTTTTGGAATAATTGGGCCTCAATTTATTGGGCCATGAAATATCAGCCCATTACTGTTTTGTATCGGTAAAAAAATCGACCCAGTAAGTGCTTACCCGAAAAAATTTAACACTATCATTTATGGGCCGTTTATTAAACACTTACCCGGTAAGCGCTTACTAGTAAAATTTAACACTACCACTTACTTACCGGGTAAGACTTTAGTCCACTAAAACGATATTGTATACAACAATTTACCCGGTAAGCACTTACCATGGTAAGAGTCGTCGCTCTCACTTACCGGGTAAAACTCTCGGTCCTTGTTTTCCTCTTACCGGGTAAGATTCTTAGTCCTTACCATATTTATTCAGTAAGGTAATGTGACTGGGTAATGGTATACCCGGGTAAGCGTTTGGTAAACGGCCCCTTACTTACCGGGTAAGATTTTAGTTCACTAAAATGGCATCATATGCAACAATTTACCCTGTAAGTACTTACCATGGTAGGAGTCGTCGTCCTCACTTACCGGGTAAGACTCTTGGTCCTTGTCTCGCTCTTATCGAGTAAAATTTTTAGTCATTGTCTCGCTCTTATCGAGTAAGATTTTTAATCCTTACTATATTTTCATCTGGTAAGGTAATGTGATTTTGGTAAGCGCTTACCCGGGTAAGCGTTTGGTAAATGGTCCCTAAATTACATTTTTCATCCCTATGGTTTGATAAAGTTTACAAATTTTTAAAATTACGATTTTCGTTTTTAAGGTTTATAATTTATTGTTATTTTCATTCTTATTGTTTATAACTTTTTTTTTGCTTTTGTCATTGTGATTTACAATGTTTTATTGTTTTTTAATCCCTCATGCTTAAAATAAACCTAACTTTTTTTCATTAACCCGGATATCCAACCCGTTATATGAGCCGACTAATCCCAGGACAACCATATGTTTTGCGAGTAGCCCGGAGTCACAACATTTTAAACCTCCGTGACCACAAGGGGATTTTTGTCCCTGCTTGGATTTGAATCTGGGACCTTCAGACATTTTTGACACTAACATTCTCTTTGCCAGCAGGCTCATCACATCCTTATACAATGCTTCGCATCTCGAAACGAGAATTATGGCTCGGCCCAAGAAAGCGCAAGATAATTCCATCGAATCTTGGTCCAAGTTTAAACAATCAGACATCACCCTTGTGGTTAAGATAAACATAATTGTAAGACCACATAACAAATTACAAAGATGAAAACATAATTTACTTTAAAAAAGTTGAATAAAAACATTATTGCATTTTTATTTTTATATTATTTTAAGATAAAAAAATTATTAAAAATATATATATTTACTTTTTGTAATTATAATATTTATGTTTAACATGAGTGATAAAAAAAGATTATTATAAGGTATAGTCTTATAAACCTGTAATTATTATATTTTTTAAAAAAGTAATTGACATTTTTATTTTTAAGAGTGAATTACGTTTTTAGCCTCTGTGGTTTGTTGAAAATTTCTGTTTTCATCGTTATGGTTTTGAAATTACAACTTTCAATTTCTTACCTTTTTCATTCTTATTATTTAAAATTTATTGGTTTAAAAGCATAAATAATGAATTTTTTTTTCTAAAATTTGTTTTAACAAATTCGATTTGAATTCTTTTAATTAATATATTATATTTTTAATTTTTTTTTTACATTTTGCTTGTATTAATTAATATATTATATTATTATAAATCTGTTTCAATTATACTGCTTGCTTACCTGGTAAGCACTTATCAGATATGCATTGACCCTTTAACGAAGTAGAAGGACGAGAACCAGAGTTTTGATAACCAATAGAAACAACAAACGTAAATTACTCTAAATATTTAATATGCTAAAAAGCTAATTTTTCCATATTTTCAGTTTGATCCTTCAAATAATTCCAAAAAGAACCCTACACTTCAAATTAAAATACCATTTTTACCCTCATTTACCTCACCTTTTGATTTGAGCATTTAAGCTCATGCCACAAACAGAACAATGTATCAAACACATCATCTTCATAACCATCTTCCTCAACCTTATCATCTTCAACTTTTGCCACTGTTAAAACAGTCCTTAACCACTCCTCATGCAACGTCGAAAACTCCGACCGACGTTCGCTTGACCGGAAACTTACTCCGATCTTTGTTTTCATAACCTCCGCTGCCTTCGAGGCGGCTTCCACCACCCGTTTTGGGATACCAGCCATTAAAGCCACTTGCATTCCGTAGCTCTCGGGGCAGGCACCGGTGGTTAGACGGTAGAGAAACACCAACTTCTGGGTGGTTGACGATGAGTTATCGGACACGGGTTCGAAGGTGCAGGCCATGTGTTGTAAGGTGACATGAGGGTGTGCTGCAAACTCCTTTGTGAGCGGATGGTAATGGGTCGCGAATAATAACCGGCAATTGACCTTCTCGACAAGATGACGGAACACCTGAATTACACAAACGAATCAAACGTTATGGACAACTGCAATTTCTAGACCAAAGGGACAAAAATCGCAACTTCCAACAAACCACAGGGAGAAAAATGTAATTTACTCAAAAAAATAGGCACATCGAGACAGAAAAAGTAAGGACAAGATGGACATTTTTGTGCTTTTAACCTATTTTTTCCCTAAAATATCCTCCAAAACTCTCTAAAATGGAGAAAATACGACAAAACAGAACAAAAATATCCAAAATTAAAGAACTCTCAGAAATTATATGTCGAAGAGAGAGAAATGTTTTTTTTATTAACCTCGAAATCCAACCCGCTACGTGAGCCGACAATCCCAGAGCGACCACCTGCTTTGCAGATAGCCCGGAGTCACTGCATTTGAACCTCCGTGGCCACAAGGGGATTTTTATTCCTCCTTGGATTTGAACCTGAGATCTTCTGGTACTTTTGACCTTTGGAATCAAGCTCAAACCAATCAGGCACCACCCTTGTGATTGAAAAATGCTTTTTATTGTTTCCACCAATGACTTGAACGTATTCTCATTTCATATAAGCTTTAGTTGAGAGTTTCTTCGAATATCAAAACTACTCAATATTTTAATAATATAATTTATGATGAAATCATGAAAATTGAAAATAGAGAAACTGTTGAAACGAATGTAATTATTTTGGGGAATTTTAACTTCTGTTTCTCCATGTTGGAGAAATTATAGATAATCTGTTATAGATACTCTAACTCCCTTCTTCCTGTGCATCCTAGCTACTGGCCATACACCTAGTCTACTACCCCTAATTCTACGTCTCCAAGAACATCGTGTCCTCAGAAATGTCTAAGGACGTCATAGATAGATTGTGAAAATGTAAATGCAAAATACCTGGTCTACTTGGACCATTTTTTTTCAAAAACTGCTAGTTATTGCAAAATGTAACATTCTTTCAGCAATTTCGCAAGACCGAGGATAAATTTGCACAGAAAAAAGAAGAAACCGAGTGCTACGAGTCAAGGAGTCAATAACTAAAAGCAAATTATGTTTTGAAGCTTTCGAGGTGGTATACTCACAGCATAAGCAATAGCATATCCATCGAAAGTGCTGGTTCCTCGGCCCAATTCGTCAAGTATGACGAGGGAATCTTGAGATGCATTTTGCAAAACCGATGCTGTTTCTGTGCATTCGACGAGAAAGGTACCTAAGAAGAGAGAAAAGTAAAGAAATTGTTTCATTAATGATTATTGCATGAGCAAATGACCACCAATCAGCAGAACTGGTTGCAGGTGCTTACCCCGTAAAGAATGGATGTTGTTTAGCAGACACTTACAGGGTCAATTACCTTGCCGGGTGAGCATGGCAAGGACTGAGAATCTTACCAAGTAAGTGAGAGAGACGACTCTTACTTGGTAAGCGGTTAACGTTACCTTATCAATATCCATTTCTAATGGCCGAGAATGTTACCAGATAAAGTAAGGGAGGGTGGTGACTCTTGCTGATAAGCGCTTACCCGGTAAGCGTTTGGTAAACGGCCCCCCATAACACACTATAAGCCACGTATCTTCGGACCCAAAAAAAGCTTTTAAGCAGTGGCACCGTTTGATTAGAAAAAGAATCTGTTGAAAATTATCATAAATTTTTAGCTCTGTTGGTTGGTTCCTTGCCCTTACACAAAAAGAACCTACGTTCAAATCAGGCCTTTGAAATATTTTAAAAACAAAAAGACTATATAAAGAACCAAAATTTAAGCTGAAAAGTAAGAAATTTGACAAGAGCAAGGACTCGAAACTGGGCCCGTTGTACAAGGGCAACAAAGTTAACCATCTCTAGCATTACTAACTAGTGCCATTAGTTTAGTTACAAAAGATACAAGGACACCAAACAAAACGATATGGTGGTACCCTTCAGAGACATAAGTTTTTCTATTACAAGGAAACCATGATGCGGTGGTCCGTGCCACTGTAATACACCATGTAGGTCTGCCCTTGCAAGATGTTGACCCAGCAAGGGTTTGTTGATTGAGTCGGTCGGTGCTTGAGTCAGCGCTTACCAAGACACTTGGTAAATAACCATTTCCAGTCTGCACTTACCCAAGGCCGAACCTCTTACCTAGACCACAGTCTTACTAGGTTAGCGCTTACACAATTTGTGTTAGTAAACGGCCCCTTAACAATGTCTATGGAACAAGTGGGTTGAACCATATGTGAGCTTATTATGCGACTAACCACAAATCAGTTTGAAAACTAGTCACAATTGCGAGTACCTCTAATCATAATTATATAATAAATGCCGTCAAACATAGATTGTTAGACATCAGTTTTATAGATGTCCTTTTTGTTCATAATTACAAATATTTTACATCTAGTTTGATTATAGAGAACTTACTTTCACCGGACATTATACGATCAGTTGCACCAAGGCGTGTAAAAATAATATCCACGGGCGAGAGAGCGCACATTTCACAAGGAACATAACAACCCAGCTGCACATAGAAAATAGATTGAAATGGAACACAGGAAAATAGATAAATGAAGTAGTTTATCTCTACTACCCAAAAAAACCCACTCCCTTTGTCCCAAAATAAGTATTCACATTTTATTTTAGTTTATCCTCAAAAAAGTGTCCGCTTTCAAATATAAGAACTTACTTTCCAATTCTACCCTTAATATAAGATGGAGAAATTCATTACTCCTTCCATTATTAATGGTAAAATTGTCATTTAGTTTATTAAAAAGTCTAATACTTACACATCTCTAATATTGTCTTTTTCATTGTTGAGATTTATTTCGGAATGGAGAGAGTATTTCCTATAAACCAAATCAAACCAAACCAAACCAAACACATCCCGTAAGGCTCACTCAAAAGTAGCGATGGAAATTTTACCGTCGGGTACCCACCCCTAACAGGGCTGGGGATAATCGGGTAATGGGGCGGAGATGGTTATTGCTTTCCATACCCGAAGCGGCTTCGGGTTGGGGATGGTATTAGCCTCCCCTAATAATACCCGATATATATTTTAATAATTTAATACTTTTAAATTTGTTATGAACTATGATTACACGTGGTTGGTTAAATCATGTTTTTCAAAATTTGAGGTTTATTTGTTTGTTTTAAAAAGAAAAAACTTGTTTTTTCTTTTCTTTTAAAATAATTTAATTAATTTTTTACCTAAGGAAGTACCCAACTGGTTCCCCATCCCGTCGGGGATCCCCCCCGGAAACCCGTCAGCGATTAGGCGAGATGGAGTCAGGGGTGCATTCCCCGCCCATTACCCGCACTGTTTCCATCCCTACTCAGAAGTAGAGTATAGGGGTGGGATGTACGCGGACTTGCCTCTACCCCGAAAAGCAGAGCAGTTGTTTCCATAAATACCCCCGGCCTATTTTCTCTGTGTAAAAAATCAAAAAATTACCTGAGCAAGTATAACAGCTAAACAGGTAGCACGAAGAAGGGTAGACTTTCCGCCCATATTTGGTCCAGTCAACAGCAAAGTGCGAGGATTGTATCCACATTCACCATCTCCAAGACACAAGTCATTGGGAACAGGCATTCCTCCACTCTCTCCAAGCGCATATGGATGACATAATCCTCTTATATGAAGTGTGGGTCCCTTGGACCCTTGGTTAAAACCCGATGAGTCTGACCTAGGAACGATAAAGGGCCTAGACATGGCCATGCTAGAGAAATTTGCAGTGACAGCAAAAGATCTAAGCACGTCTATACAGTTTAAAGCCAGGATGACCTGAAACCACTCATTAGCCTTCTCCATGAATAACTCGATCAGAATTGATAGTATTTCAGCATCCGAATCCTTAAGCTCAGGTGCCTGGAGTCATGGATTATGACATGAATTCATGATCTTTAGAAGTAATGAAAAGCATATATGATAATCAAAATTAACATTATCCATCATCTGAATAGATCTCTAGAGGAAAAATCAAATGAAAACTATAAAAAATGTTATTTGTATAGAGTTGTTCCATATATGAAACACACACACACACAAGAGCAATACATGTAAAACACCTTGAATCCTATCTTAAAATGAAACTCATTAAATGGTTCATGGTTGGAATGGGTTTCATGGGTTTGTAACTTTTGAGTTTTTTATTTAATGTGCCATATATGTAGGGGCAGATTCAAACGAGAAGCTAAACATTTTGCAAGACGAGAAGTTTCAATATCATATATGATATTACACACATGATACACAAGCTTAATCATATATGATTAAACACATATTGCATTGACAACACATAGACGCTTAATCATATATGATTAACCATATATGATTTTGAAACTTCTCGCAAAATGGTTTAACTTCTCACATGATCCTTCCCCCCTCTCTCTCTCTCTCTCTATATATATATATATATATAGGGTCAGGTTAAGAGGAAAACCGCAAAAAAAACAAGGAACACCCTAATAACCATTCATCTCCACAGTATGCATATGTGCATACAAGTAAGTCGTAATTAATTCGTCCCATGCCTAACATGCACATGTGCATTAAAACCAGAAAACATCTTCAATTACTTGAATGCACATGTGCACTCCGTACAAATGAAGGCTTATCAGGGTGTTCCTCGGCTTTTCATTTTTAGGGGTTTACCACAAAAAAAAATGAAAAACTGAGGAACCTTCATTTGGACGGTATGCACATGTGTATACAAGTAACTGAAGCTATTTTTTGGTTTTTATGCACGTGTGCATGTTATGCACATGTGCATACCGGACAAACTGCTTAGAATTAATTGTATGCACATGTGCACACGTCCAGATGAAGGGTTACCAGGTGTTCCTCAATTTTTTTCATATTTTTGCAGTTTTCCCCAGAACCCGACCCTATATATATAGTATATAGGGATCGACATTATGACAATATGCATGTTTGGTCATATGAAGATGAGAGCAAGTATAATGATTATGTAGCATGGACAAAGAGAAAAAGATGGTTACTAAATGGCATGCACAAAAAAAGGGCTTATCTAAGGAGAAAAACCCTGCCATAACTTAAATTTATGGACCTATATTATCAAGCTGAACTTTTACGAAAGTTATTAGAAGAAATCGGATGAAAATGAGAACACCTGATAATTTGGGAAATCACTGTCTATAGCTGCTTCGAATTGATTAAGAAATTTATCAAGGCCATCACTCCCACTTAGCATCGGAATAGTAAATATTTTCAATAACAATGAGAAGACGGGATTATCCTTTTGTAAGAGCATTAATAAATCCATTCCAGCACGTAGACCTTTAACAAGAGATCCAAACACTTTCACCTGCACATCAAAAACCGAATTGCATCTCCGATCAATGCAAAGGAATAGAATCCGTAAAAAACTATCCCTTTTTTTTTTCTTTTCTTCAATAACTATATGGTTTTAAAATGAGACAGTAAGATCTGTAATAATGAAAGCAATGTAGAAAGATGTGCCTACTTTCCAATTCTATCCCTAATTATGAGATGAAAAATTGTTTACTCCCTTATTATTAAGGGTAAAATTGTCTAGTTAAATATAAAGTATAATGATTACACATTCGTAAAAATGTGAGCATTTTTCATGGTGGACATTTATTTACTCCCAATCACATGCTTACAACAAAGAAGAAAGCCTAGATTAAACCTCAAGTAGAATGTGCTTTAAGTTAGCTTTTGGATTCCATAAAATCATCAGCAATTAGCAATATGCTTGCTATTTTTCACAAGATAAAAGGAAACACAAAATTGCAACAGCCCAATAAACAACACATTAGGAGTCAATGAAGTAAGAGAATTTTAAGAGCAATATTTGCCTTTACAGCAAGGAAGTACCCTAATCTGAAATCAGTAATATTTTTTCCATCCCAAAATAAATGTCCATATTTCTATTTTTGGTTTGTCCTAAAATTTAAGTGCCTACTTTCCAATTCTACCCTTAATTATGAAATGAAGAAATTCATTACTTCCTTCATTATCAAGGGTACAACCATCGTTTAAGTCAACTAAAAGGTGTAACAATTACACATTTCTAAAATTCTGTACCTTCCATTTGTGAACATATATTTTGAGACAGAGGGAGTATTAAAGATCAATGAATAGTTTAGAAGTCAAACTTGAAAGGAGCTTTCATTTCATTGCATGTATGGAAAAAAGAAAACTTACTCGTTGCTTCAATATTTTGCTGCCAATCAAGGGCAATAGAATTAAAGCAGATGACTTAAAAGTAGCTCTAATTTGTCCAAGAAACCTCTCTAAGTCTGGAAGTTTTCGAAGATATTGAGTAATTAGTGCCATAATCTCTGCATGTGCCATCAGTTCTTCAACCACATTAAGCCTATGATTGATTTCCTCAGCATCTTTCAGTGGATGACATAGCCACTTCCTTAAGAGCCGCTTACCAGATGATGTTATGCAGTTATCAAGATATTTGTACAGAGTTCCTGGAATACAAAATTAGTTGCAATGAGGAAAACAAGGATGGTTATACCAATCATCATACGTGCCTCAAAGTCGGAAAAATTTGCTACTCGCTGCATCCATATAGATGTCCACAACGAAAAAGGCACACAGTTTTATAAATGTGTAATTATTACACTTTTTAATTAACTGACAATTTCACCCTTAATAATAGAGGAGACAATGAGTACATTATAAACTTGCCTGATGTTCCACCATCTACATTATTGTTGAATATTTCAAGATTGGCCATTGTTTGTCCATCCATTCTAAGACATCCTTTGTAGACTTCATACGGTCGAATACTTCCATTCCGTAATGCATCATCTAACTGCTCAAAGTTGAATTAACCAATCATTGCATCAAAATATCATGTCTGGTACAACCCACTTAAAGACATTGATCTTAGTAAGCATCTAACCTTTAACCTGGATAAATGACTGGTAAGTCCACCAAGAGCACATAACGCAGCATCCTGGTGAACCACTCCATCGAGTGCACAATCCCATGCATTAGAGGAACCTTTAAAGTAACCTTTCATTTGGATAACATGTCGAACTTCAGAGGAATCAACAAAATCGGTCGCCGACTGTGCTGGAGTCATTTGTGAGGCAACAGAACCTACAAGAGGCAAAACTGTAAGCATGCAATGGAATTCCTACTTAAACCCAGCCTGCATGCTCAACAAATTATTTAAATGGGCAAATTGCATGAAAATGCAACTTGGTCTTATTCCTATTTTATGTCATGTACTTTCAACACCTTCATTTTGCTACATCAGATGAGATCTCTTAAACAATTAGATCAAATTACCGTTATACAAAATAAGAGAAGTTGCATTTTCAGATGTAAACAAGGTACCTAAATGTTTCAAGTGTCACATCTAAGGTAACAAAATGAAGGTTTTGAAAAATTGCATTTGCATGATGCAATTTGTCTATCTAAATCAACTGGAATACCAGAATAAAAAGGATTCGAAATGCTAATTAGAGCAAACATATCGCTTCCTACATATCAGAATAGAAAAGAATTTGAAACGCTAGTTAGAGTAAATAAATCATTTCCTTGCAATATATGCAAATTAAGAAACAGAACATCCTTACCCATCAATGAATACTTGTTAAGGGCTTTCTGAGCTTCTTTAGACAACCCTGCACCAAGCATTATTTTTCTTATTGAGGAAGTGTAGATCTAAGTTCAATAAAAAGTTAAAAATCTTACCATCACTTCTTAGATGGTCAAATAGATATAATGGAATAAAAAATACTTACCTTGACTTTCAAAAATAACTTCTGAAGGTGACACCTGAATTACAAAACCAAGTGATAAAGTAGTTTTACCATTAGATTTACACACCAGAAACTATTTTGAAATCTATTTTTATATTCACGGTGTAAAAAACGTAAAACTAACAAGTAACAGCTTCAGAATATGACAAGCTTCACGAATTAATTTGGTAAATGAAATTCCTTAATAGATTTACATTTGTCATGTTTTAAAGCCGCCCATGAAAAAAATTGTACACTGGAAGTGCATTAAAAAGTGTTATCTTTTTACTGGAACAATTAGTTGTCTCACTTGAATTACATGACCACAGTAGCAAAGACCAAAAGACATACCTGCATCAATAAAGCCCCTAAAGCTGCATAGGAAGCATCATCACTGATGGATCCAACCCAAAACTGTAACGCGGCACAATCAACAAAGGCAAATCCATATGCAATTGAACCATCATCAGTACCACGTATACCCTGTACAGAGATTTAAAGGCAATGTGACATGGCTTATAAGCATACACCTTCAAACCTTCAGAGAATGCACCACAAAGAAAATACGATTGTTGTGTACCATATGCAATAAGTTGCCAGGAGATTTGAATTTAAAAAAATCATTTGTAGAAAAAGAAAAGTTATACAAAGTAAATCATGGTTGCCATTTGTAGGTCAATCAGCTAAAAGACAATGACACTGTTTAGGAACCCTTGACAAAAATGACAGCAACAAAATGCAATAAGAAAAATTGTTTACCACCAAATACATGGTGCCCTGATTGTAGTAATTTGGTCAAATGAACAGTTCGTGTAATTGCTTTAAGTTTGTGGGGTCTTTTACAGCATCCCATTTCAGATGAGCATCATGGGATGCTAACATCAAGAGTCCAGGATTGGTTCACCTTCTTAATTATAAGTTCTCATGGGTCTCATTTTTAGCAACATAACTTCTTAATGATAAAAGGAAAAATTGTTCCCGTTTCTATAGCATCATGGCAAAGAGCTTGGTTCTATGGAAGGCTTTCACATTAATTTACCTCCATTATATCTCCATTGACTGGCAGATAATTTACCTCAAACCATGGCCTTGTAACATCAAAAACTAAAACTCCTACCTCTACAGATTCTGCCATAACAAGGAAGCATCTTAACATCAATCTAATAGGGCCAACATGTTCCCCATTGTTTATACATGACCCGATCAATTCAAGCGGGCACTTGCCATCTACTTTCATTGTTCAACTCTTTAACAACACAAAGTCTTTTGGTGTCTTATTTCCCCCGTTCTCATTCCCCGACGTGGTCATTCATATAAGTACATATCACATTTAGCTTGATAATTTGAACCATGTTTAGATGAACTATATTGTGCGGACTAAGTAGTCTTAGAAATATAAATGTACTAGTGATGTTAACATAGGCCATTTTAGTAATGTGATATTTAAACCACAAAGTATTTAAATAAAATGCATATATTGACATGACAACAAAAACTATGCAAGTATAAAAACAAACCTCCTTTAGAGCAAGAAGATGAACAGCTTGAGGCCCAATGTTACCATGCATCAAGGTTGATGGTGTAAGCACATGTACTAATTTTCTTTGAATTACCTGTGAATATTTAAATAATTAATGACACATTATCTACAAATGAAAAATACAACAATAGCTATAGTACATAAGTGGCAATATATTTAGCGATTATTGGGTTGTTAGTGACTTAATGCAAAATCTAGCAACTAGTAATATGCTATATAAGACTGGGGATAAGAGTAAATAGATTTAGAAGCCTCCACCAAATTTTGCCAAGTGAATGAGCTATCAGCATGATTGGTCAAGCATTACTTATATAGTAGCTTGCAGAATAGCTCTAACTGGCAAAAGATTTTTGTGACACTCCTACCGTTATCAACCCACAAATAATTTACGTTTCTACTGCTCCTCTCTGTTGCTCCTCCTCAATAAAGCCCAGAATTCCTCCAATAAGAACTTTAAGGCCCTTTGGCCTAGCGGTATGTGAGTCATTGGCATCCTAGGAGGTCAAGGATTCAACCTCATCAAAGGGGAGGAGGGTGTGTGAGTTTATTTGTTCTATTTGCCGTATATAATTATTATATACTTAAAAAAAAGAACTTTCATCAAAAGCAAGCAAGAAGCCTGCTTAATCAAGTTAGCACTTTATAGACGAATCAATGAAGTATGAACCGTTAACGATATTATGGATGTGGTCATGAAGGTAATGAGTATGTTGAAACAACATGTGAGCTTATGGAAGTTTCAGAATTTAAATCAATACGAAGAGAACACAAAGAAATGCATGCATATCGTTAATAATTTATTTGGGGTGTCCCTTCATAATGTTTTATAGCTCTAGTCTTGTATTCCCCGAACAGACAAATAATACAAAATATGATGATGCCTACAGTATGCTTGTTGAAGCATGCAAAATGGAAATGAAGTTAGAAAGAAAACTAGAGAGGATGATACAGTAAATCCCTTATCTTTGTTCAGAAGATTTTCACAAATTGCTATCATAGCTAGATAGTTTGTGCCTTTGCAACATCAAGATCTCTTTCATCATCAAGAAATGAGTAATTAGAAATGACTTAAGAAGAGCAGACATTAAGGCCTCTGAAAGTTGGCTGAAGATGGTCAGCTTCCTATTATCAAACAGCTCATTAGCAATCTGATGGATATCTGTTTGTCTGCTGTATATAGGTGAATCAGATGGCCCATGAACTCCATTACGAGGGTTCATGATAACAAAAAGAGATAGATAACTTCCAATTTACTATAAATAGACATTTCATTTTAAATGCTTTGTCTAATGGAGAATGAAGCTGTTCTAGCAGAAGTCTACAGCTCTTGGCAATCACAGTGAACTTACAGAAGTAGCGCCTCTCGATTTTGCCTGTGCTGCTGTTTCCAACTGCTCCACTCGCCCAACTTTATACCTTTAAATGTTTATGTAGAGCTAGTTAATAATGATACAATGATAATGCTTGAGCATGTACAAAGCAACAAGCTGACTAAATATTGAGCACATCCATGGACTGAAACAATTCTAAAATTTAGAAATCTAACAATCTCGGGTAGCAATGGCAACAGTCAGGGGGTTCCGGGGATCCCCATCACCTAATAAAATTTCATCCCCATCCCCATCGGAAAACGGGGATACCCATCGGAAAACGGGGATCCCCATCATGGTATCGGGGATTTTTCCCCATCTACACAGTTCAATTTTTTACATAATGTTTTTCTAATATTATTATATAAATACCAATTTTACGTTTTAAACGATATATAATGATAAAACACTAAAGTTTTAGTTGTTGCATTTGTATAAGAGTAGCATCAAAAAAACATAGTTCAAACACAAATACATCAACTACAATACTTATAACCGAAATTTTATACAACCACGTCGTTATATCAACAAAAGGTTTCCATGAACAATGAAATCGATAATGTAATTCATTTTACAAGTTCTCATCATGGAAGATTGACTATATTTATACATCATATATACTCATTTGATTTCTTATTTTATTATTATACTTAGTATATTATATATATATATGTACATAAAAGCGTATAATTAATACTCAGGGTCGGTTTCAGGGATGAAGAGTATCCCCATAAATTCGGGGATTCCACATCCCCGGTCAACTAAGGGTTCTCCGGTCAAACCAGGTTCAAGTATTGGGTTTTTTGCCATCCCTAATCTCAGGCGACATGAAATTCATACAAGCATGAGAAGCACAAGCTTTAGTTACTTTGTAGAGTAGACAGTCCTCTACCAAGGCCTTTCCTAGGCAAGGGGGGAAGAGCACTTGCCCAAGGCTCAATAATAATAGGGGCCCTAAACATTTTTATTAGCAGTATTTATCTAAAAATAAATATATAAATTAATTGATAAAAAGTTCCATGATCCTAGAAAGCAAATGTCCATCTACATACTTTTCCTTCATCTCAATGTCAGTTTCTACAATATCAATAGAAAAACTTGCATACTTTATGAAAACAGAAACAATGAATTTCCTTTTTACCATAATGCGTGAAAGAGTTACAAATTGTCTCAGTTTTACTCTTTTATGGAATAATTGCAGTTCTGATGGTAAATAGAAATTGTTGCACTCTTAGGGATACATATAGCTCTCTTGTGATCACTTGGTCTTTTTGTGCTAAATATCATGAATGTCTCTCATTTGTGTTTCTAATGTGATTTGATTGTAAAAATTCAATTACCATTCTTAAATGCTTTTTCTCTTGGATTTTTTTGAACAGTTTCCCGAGATCATTGTATCAGGAACCATATCTAGCTATCAGTTTGGTTGAGTAGGGCTATACCAACCATGCACTTGTCAGCCACTATAAAAGGTAAAAAAACATTTTTTGGGGATAATCCACAGACTTCCATTTCCAATTAAATGAGAAGGGTGGGATTAGAGGATTGCTTAAGCTCGCATAGAGGAAGTAGGGACATTAACAGCTATGGTATCACAATGGTCTTTCCAGAAGCTTTTATCTTTTATGATGTGAGTCTAAACTAATCAATGTCTAAAAGTATGTAAACATATTGGAATAAATTATTCTACAAAATCGAGGTTTTCAAGTTCATGTATAACAATATAAAACCTTTTAAGATTCATATGTGTATGCTATATGCTAATACTGCATTACACAACTCTCAAATTTACAAAACAAAATAGAGTTTCTACTGCAGGTCATATATTTCTACTACCTGCAAATTACAACAACAATTGACTACTGCATTTGCTATTAAAGTTCATATATTAACAATTGTCCATATGCATTTGCTTACAGCTCCATTAATTCATACCCATATACATGTGTTTTGTTATTGATGTATTGAAATGAAATGTATGAAACTATGAATTACCATATGCCATATGTTAGCTCGGGAAATATAATATGTTATGTGTAGACATATAAAATAAAAAAGTTTTTTCTAGTATTTTTTTTGCATTGAGTTTTATTTTTTATAATTAAAAAAAAAACTGTTTTAAGATTTATCATACAATGTCAGGATCGGGCATGTTCTCTACGACAGTTTCGGGAGTTCAGTTTGACAGCCATAATGAAGATGCTCCTTGGAAATTTCAAACTTCTAGCAGATTGTAAATATCAGTAACTTACCTACGAGCCAGCAGCTTTTCAATAGCATCATCAATTGCATTCTCGGTGATCCCAACCTGAACCACAAAGCAAAAGATGTTAACTTACAGTAATAGCTTCAAAAGATGGCAAAGAGCTTCTAATTTACTGACAATATCTACAGAGTACAGATGCACAAACACAGTGGGAGATAACAGTTTGTACTTAGGCGCCTTATTGATACCTGTCGGCATTTCCCAACACCACTCATCGTCATTTTCCAGTCAAGCTCTTTATGTCCAATTTCAGCATCTAATTCATAAAGCTCGTAGAATTTTCCCTACAACACCACGAATTCAACTTAGACAAATCAAACGTGTGTAATCATTTTGACAAATTGGGTGTTCAGACTTATTGGATATATCAATGAATTTCAACTACTAGTTTCATAAATGCAAACCAAGTAATCATTTATTAACTTGAATACTGGGTCCAACAATAAATCCCATATTTTTCAGGTATCAAAAATTTTACATCAAAAGGAAGTTGTTACAAATTTATCTTCCAGGGAACTACATGCTCCTTTCAATATAAGAAGAAATGAGTTTCTTTCACTTCAAAATAGATGACATAGTCATTCAAACACATTTGAGCATAAATATTTCATCTACACCTTTCCAAATTCTTGTCATAGATGTAGAGAGAATTATCCCCAAGGGCAGGTTTTGCATGTTCTCTTTCCAGCATTCAACTAATCCGACACTTGTTTACCCTTGAGAAGTACATGTGAGATGATTATCAGTGCTCAAAACAGAAAAAAATTCCCCAATGTTACTTTATGTCAAATTGCCTTTTAGCTACTTTAATGGACTTTTACACAGTAAAGCCGTCTTACTCATCCAGTTAACTGATATAACTTTATAAGGCATGTAATAAAGAGCAAAAGAGTTGTTATATCTAATCTAACTGATCTACTGCACTTCCAACAGATATATAGTTAGCTTATTGGAAAGAGTCCCACATTGTATAATATTCACAGAGCTCGTCCAACACTTCAGTTTAAAATAGAAGGAAAATAATTTAAGACCACTGGAATTACTTAGAATGCATCATAGTTATAATGTTATATAATTGGAAAGAGTCCCATGTATCATAATCACAGAGCTCGTTCAATACTTAAGTTTGAAATAAAAAGTAAATAACTTAAGACCGTTGCAGTGACATAGAAAGCATACAGAATAYTGAGRATGCTTGCATAGTAGATAATGAGAAGCAGAAAAGATTATGGACCAACTTTAAAGTGTGTTCAAAGAAAAACCAACTAACCACTTTAAAGAAAATAAGGACATCCATGTATTGACTTTTAACACTCCAATACTGTTTCTGAGATGCTGACATATTCCTCAAAACATCAGGTGGTATATAAAGTGTTCTCTTGTCATAAAGAGGATTGTCTGGCCTTCTTCCATTAGCATCTTTAATTTRTGAAGGATGAAKCCAATCAAATTTACTAGCCGATTCAGATGCCACTTCGTCTTTCTTTTTTTCAGCCAGTAAATCATGAGAAAACTTCACTCTTTTGCTATTGTCCATAAAAGATTGAGTAGTAGTAGTAGTAGTCGTAGTAGAGGCAAAGTTACAACCATCCTCTTGAACTCGCTTCAAACGTGGAACCAGTGRTCGAGTACCAGGAGTTTCTGGCCCTGTTATATCCCCATCAGATTCTACAAGCAAGGGATGTCTTTTATCCCCTGGAAAAGCAGTTTTTTCTACATCCAAAACACTTTTCATTACCGGAGAACTAGAAACCGAACTCTCCTTGTCTCTTCCATTTGAGTAACTATATTTATTAGATAATGGGTAAATAATATCATGGCTGCCACCTGATAAATTCCTGCACGTCAAGAGCAAACATCACAAGCTTTAATGCAGACAGAAACTCCATGGAATATGCATTAAAAAACCATACAACATAAAACTTACAAGACATCAATTTTTTGAACATCATGTACCACTAAGAGCCTGTTTGTTAGCAGCTTAATGAGCTTAATGGGACTCATAGGCCACAGCTTATTCGGTCAGCTATACATGACTGTTTGGTAGTGGCTTAATGATATAGAAAGTGGCTTATTCAGTAAACTTCTATGGGGAGCTTTATGCAGAAAGCCAAGTTATTCCAAAACATGCCCTTCCCATTAAAAATCATGCTCATTCCATCTATGACAAAATACTCCCAAACAAAAACTTTCTCAATCTATACAAACAGATTAATCCACACATATAGCTTTATCCATACAAGACTTAATGGAAAACAAACCAAACATCCCCTGCATCTACAATAAGTTAGTTTACTCACATTACCAAAAAAATACGTAAATCAATCAACAAGAAGCAACTTTAAACAAATACTATCATTCCTAATTTTTTCAATAAGCACCAAGAAAATCAAATTTTCTATTATATCTAAGCTCGCTTGAGATCAATTGGCTGTACAGTTTTGGCCACCAAAAGAATCATGTACATCGTATTGCTGTACATGGAATGCAAATGTTGAGATGAATACACAGAATGGATTATTGGGAGAAGGTTGGAGACTTGGAGTAGCTCCAGTTGAACAGAAATCGATGCGCCATATCTTGAGATGCTTAGACCATTGGAGTCGAGACACCAGTGAGAATATGAGTATGAGAGGACTATTATAGTCATATGAGATAAGAGAGGCAGCAAAAGTCCAGGATAACATCAGTAAGCAACAAAACTTGTGCTCAAATGCCTATGCATAAATCTACTAAACAGCAAATTAATCAAAATTAACCATACTGAGAGCAATTTGCTGTAATAAAAACTAGGTTAGTCAATCACTACAAAGTTTACCGGTCACAAGGCTTCTTAACGTTGTTAGGCTTCACGAACTTGTGCTTAATACTGGAAAACATAGAGTGTCCACTCCTGTTGTGTTCGCCGTTGTCACCGCGGGCAATCGACTTCGACTGAAAGAATGGGCGTTGTTCTTTCTCTGGCGGAGTGTCGGTTCCTCTCACTTCGTCAGAGATTCCTACCGTCGTAGATGAGAGAACAACAGGCTGATTAGATGCGGCTACATTTCTATGTTGTAGCTTCTCCTCAGAAACCACCACGGAGTGGCCTTTTGGAGCTCCACAGCCTACCGGTTTCTCATTTTCCGGCATCGTCGACGGTCTCTGAAGGAACGATAATATAGATTTCTGGCGCTTCATCGTAAGATTCCGATTGTGGGAAAGAGGGAAGTTTGGAGAGGCGTAGAAGAAGAAGGATGATTTTAGCGCCCTTTTTGAGATACGAGATCACGAAGCGCCAATTACTTGCTGACGGACTCGGTGTGTTGATTCGTGAGTCGTGACTCGTCTCGAAGACCAATGGGATGGAGAGATTCCCAAAAGTGGCATTGACACCGTTTGGATTGATCGATTTGAAGACATTTGAACAACAAATTATGGTTTGAAAAAATCTCAACCCAACCCAAACCAAATTGCAACAATCCAACCCAACACGTACCCCAACTCAATGCTTGTGGTTTGAAAAAATCTCAACTCAATCCAACCCAACGGTCGAGTTGATACTTTGGTATTTTAAAATATTTTCCTAACCTTAAATATGTTATTTTTCTACTCATAATTTCTTTTTCATCATCAACCATTTGATACAACTTATCCATATTTCTTACGTATATAACATTCAGTTAATTTTCTCAATTTACATATATATGTTCACAGTTACTGAACATGTATACGAATGAATTATATAGAGATTTGAATAGATTGAAAATATGTGTATAAAAAGCATACATGACGGTGTAATTGTCTAATGTATATATTAATATAAATTCAACAATCATATTAAATCCAAAAAAAAAAATCGGGTTTGGTTGGGTTCAAATAATAGTAACCCCGTATCAACTCAATACATACGGTTTGACAATGTTACAACTCGATCAGACATCGGGTTGCTTCAGGTGGTTATTTCGCGTTGGGTTGATCGGGTTTTTTGAGCACCCCTGATTGAAACATAATTAACTTTGGAAAACTCAAGGATGTTTGGTAAGAGTTATTAAGCAATAATAAATGGGAATGAAAATAAAGGAAACTGTTTGGTTTTTATAATATTATTGGTTCATTCCCCATAAGTCAAAATTTTGATTCTAGGTTAAATCTAGACAACGTATAACTGGTCTCGGGTTGGGCCATGAATTTTCTAGAAAAAAGTAATTGGTTAAAGATTCTTTAACCGGTCCCGGTCCCAAATTAGCAGTGGACCGAGCCGGATCCATTTGGCCATCTATAGGCTCGGGTTTCTTCAAGCTGGATTTCGAGCTCATACTTTTTTTTTTGCATGTTTAGTTGACGATATTGTTTAAAAAGACGCATCATGGTGTGCGCCATGGCGCGATATGGAGCAAGACGCGTCTCCACCGTTACAATTACAAAATGCTTCGTAGCGTTTTTGTAAAACGTGGCTCACGCCGCGGCACGTGATTTTTTCCATTTTTTTTTTTTTGTGTTTTTACACTTTACACTTTAGATTTTGTATTTTTATAAATCTAACTAATCACATCGCTCACGGTTTCACAAATTCATAAACCTTGCATACTCACGGTTAAAATAAAGTTGTAAAATTACCTTGCTAAGTTCTATTTTAAATATTTAATAAAAAAACTATTTTTATAATAATAATTTATATGATTTTTTTTCCTTCTAATATGAATGTACATCTTTTTAATATTATTATCTGATTGGATAAAATATAGAAAACATGTATTTATATGTATAATTTTATTTATGACATGCAAATTTGCCGCCTTATGTCACGTCTTGAAAACGCCGCGTCCTCGCCGTGGCATGTAAGGTTTGAGGTTTAACATCGTTCTCATGCCACTCTCACGCCTTTTTGAACCTTGGTGGACAGCAATATACCATTTTGCTCAATTTTTCAAAATTATTTTATTACAGATTCTCAATTTATATACGAGTAAATTACGTTTTTTATTCTTGTTGTTTGTTAAAAAGTACGGTTTTCGTCTTTATTGTTTCGAAATTACATTTTTCGTCCTTATAGTTTGTAATTCATTTATATTATAGTCTAAGAGACTAAGGGGCTGTTTGTTTTTAATAAAAAAAAGTCTTAATGTCCTCTTAAGTCGGAATCGGTCAGACATAAGAGGATTCAGTGTGTTTTTTTTTTTCCCCAATTAAGAGCTTAAAAGCTCTTATTAGGTCTGAAAATTTAAGTGGTTGCGAAACTCTTATTACCTCTTATTTCAAATCGTCGCCTACCTACTCTGATATGTTTGCGCTCGATTTCTCTAGATCAACTCTTCTGTCTCTATCTCTCATCTCTCAACTTTGTCAACTGTCGATCCATGTCAACTATCGATCTCTCATCTTCAAACTTCAAATTTCAGACGCAAAAAACAAACAGTCTGGCTGATTCAGATTTCAGATTTCAGCACAACCTCTTAAAAATCATAAGTGAATTATAAAACATGGGAATGAAAATAGTAATAAAATAGTAATAAAAATTTAAATCACAAGGACGAAAATTATAGTGAATTATAAAACATGGGAATGAAAATCATAATTTCAAAATTGGCAGGGATGAAAATTGAAACTTTCAACAAACCACATGGACTAAAAACATAACTTACTCTTTATATATTCTAATGTGTTTGTTTTTTAAGAGGTGTTGATGTCTGAAATTTTATTTAATTTATGAATAATAAGAGGTGTTGCTGCAGTATGAAACCAATATCAATAAAATTATTTGTTTTTGTAAACTAAAAGACGTTTGAATACGTATAAACTATCAAAACTAGCAATATATTTTAAATTGGCATGCCCGTTTTTATTAACTAGAAGGGTACTTGCACAATACAGGGAGATACATATTGATTCTAATATTTCATTTTATTTTTTATCTCAGTTAATGTTATAATATGGTCTTATGTGATTTTGAAAAAATGGTTATGCTTTTATTTTTCAATAAAATATAAATTTGAAGATATCATAAAAATTTGACAAAAATATATCAATATTAGTATCAAACTAACTACTTAAAATTTCTCATTTTTTGTGTAAATTTTTAATTCATTTTTTTAATTATAATTTAATTTTGGTTCAATAACGAATTAATTTATATTTGGTTTAATAATATAATTTTCTTATAAAGATAATAATTAATTATTTTGTTAGAACTCGATAATTATTCTAATTATACATTATATTTTAAAATAAGATGTTTATCCTCCATTTGATTATGTTTATCCATAGTTAATTACACAAATTCAAACATGAAATTTTAATGAATAAATAAATAAATTCTAAAAACCCTGCTTACATTCAGCCATTGGCTACCTTGTTTCCCCTGTCAAAAACTTTAACCGTCCACCAATAAAGATGATTACATCCATAATTTTTAGCTGTCAAAAAAATAAATTGATTTCGTACTTAGAAGCATATGTATTTGAGTTGAATGAAATTCAGTGTAAAATTGTATTTGTTTTGAAAGATAAAATTGTCTCTAATTGTATAAAAGTCATCGTGTTTGACTTTTATTAGAGATGTTTGACTTTGACTTTGTCTTGTAGTTTGACCCTATACAAAGGGTGGTGTCTTTGTAATTTTGAAGAAGAACTCAATTGTAAAAATCAGATTTACGTTTATAAAGTTTGACTAGATTTGTTGAGTTGACTTTCTCTTTTTCTCTTTCTTCAAGTGTTCTTAATAGATAATATATTCTGCTATTGTTGTTCTTGAAGGTTTTATGAAGATTGATCAATATTGGGACACACAGATTACAAACAACAAAACCTACTACAATATGGTTTAGAGTAAGAGCTCCAATAGATAGCTCGACTAACAACAACTAATCAAATATTTGTGGTATTAAGGAGGTGTTTTGGGATTGCTTATTTTAGTTGTTTTTTGACTTATTTCAGTTTGGCATCGGTGATAAGCTAAATGGTAGTGTTTGAATGATGAAAAATAAAACTATTTATACCGGTGGCAAACTGATAATAAGCAGTTTTTGATTAGTTAATATTTTATGACTTATGAAAAACTGTTTATTACTAGTTTACCATTTTAACCTTGTTTTATTAATGTTTGTTAATTATTAATTTTATTGATATAAATTATTAATCTTATTGATATAAATTTTTGTCAAAGATATTATTATGAATGATGAAAAATAAATTTTTACATGTTAAAAAATTAAATAAGTTAATAAGTAATTACAAACATTCCCATACGTCAATAATATGGAAGATTGTCATTTTTAGTCATTTTACATATATAAGCAAAATTTGTCAAACATTAAAAAACAACTTATCAACTTATTATTTTTTGGTACCACTATAAGTTAATCCAAACATTTTTTATAAAACTTTAATTTAATACCATATAAATTAATAAGCATTTTTATAATAATAAAAACATAAATTGTTTTAAATAAACAATCCCAAACACCCAAAACATCAAGTGGGTTGTTGATTGAGAGAGATGGAAGTATGTGTGCTTGAGAGAGTTGAGGACAAAAGGAGGTCATGAAACAAAACACCCTGGTTGTCTCCCCCATTCCGCAAGCGAGCCGAGGACAGCTGTTCTATGTCCATTCATCCCTGCAACATCATCGTCCGGCGAAACTCCATATTTTCCGGCAAACTTAAACGATTAGAAACGACCCCAAAACCCCAATTTTTCTCCACAATCCCACAACAATCTCATCACAACATCCTCCCACTCTGCTCCTCTACAGAATCACTCGCACAAACCAAGCAATCCCACGCCATTGCACTTCTCAGTGGCTACCTCCCACATAGCATTTCCATTTCCGCTTCTCTTATCCTCCAATACGCCACCTTCGGAGACCCATCAACGTCACGACTTCTGTTTTACCAATCACTTTCCTACTCTCGCTCTGCGTTCTTGTGGAACACGATGACGCGAGCTTACAGCAGTGCTGGTGTTTACGATGGGTTTCTAATTTATAATCTGATGATCCGTAGTGGTGTTAGACCCGATGATCATACTTTCCCTTTTGTTTTGAAAGTTTGTTCGGATTATCACGAGGTCTGGAAGGGACAAGAGGTTCATGGATTGATTTTCAAATCGGGTTTTGATTCGGATGTGTTTGTGGGCAACACCCTTTTGAGGTTTTATGGAGAATGCAGCGGTACAAGTGATGCACAGAAAGTGTTCGATGAAATGTCTGAGAGAGACATTGTGTCATATAACACACTAATCTCAGTATGTTCCATATTGTTTTGTTATGATAAGGCAATCGGATTGTTTAGGGACATGAGATCGAGATCGAACTGTTTTGGGGTTAACCCGAATGCCGTTACGATCGTGAGCTTGTTGCCCGTTTGTGCAGCCATTAACGACTACATGTTTACAAGCGAGTTACATAGTTATGTTGTCAAGATGGGGTTCGGTTCTCACATTACAATCAACAATGCTTTCATCGATGCATATGGGAAATGTGCCGATTTCAAAGCTTGTAAGCAAGTTTTCGATGAAATGGTGGATCGAAATGATGTTTCTTGGAATTCTATCATCACAAGCTTTGCTTCCATGAATCGTCAACAAGAAGCTGCCGAGTTCTTCAGATTCATGATCGATAAAGGTATCGTACCAAACTCTGTTGCAATCTCTAGTATGCTACCGATTTTAGTCGATCTTGAATATCTTCAAATGGGATTAGAGCTTCACGGTTTTAGTATCAGAACGGGTATCGAATCCGATATATTCGTAGCCAATTCTTTACTTGATATGTATGCTAAATCGGGATATCCGATTAAGGCATTAAATGTGTTCAACAAGATTGATCCAAAAAATATCGTTTCTTGGAATGCATTGATCGCTAGTTACGCTCAAAATGGCTTTGAATCGTTAGCATTACGTGTGGTTATCGAAATGCAAGATCATGGTCAAGTTCCGGGACCAATAACGTTAACAAACGTTCTTCCTGCTTGTGCACGAATCGGGTATTTTTTATCTGGAAAACAGGTACATGCGAGATCAATCCGATGTGGATTTGCTTTTCAATTATTCATCTCTAATGCCCTTATCGATATGTATGCAAAATGTGGACGTCTAGATCTTGCACGTAATGTTTTCGAGATTTCTTGTAAAGATCAAATTTCATACAACACGCTTATATCGGCTTATTCTCATACAACCACTTCTTTCGAGTCACTAGTTCTCTTTCAAGAACTCGACTCGAAAGAAGGGCTAGAACCCGACACTATCTCCTTTTCTGGTGCACTTTCGGCTTGTGCGAATATGGCAGAAATCAAGAAAGGTAAAGAGATTCACGGAGTTTGCGTTAGAAATCTATACAGCACGCATCTCATCGTTTCAAATTCAATCTTGGATCTTTACACCAAATCCGGAAATCTCGTTCTCGCTAAGAAAGTATTTGATTCCATACCCGTGAAAGACGTGGCCTCATGGAACACAATGATTATGGGGTATGGAATCTTCGGCGAAATCGATGCCGCAATCGATCTTTTCGAAGCTATGAGAGCCGATAATCGTGTGAAATATGATTCGATTACTTACATAGCTGTTTTATCCATCTGTAGCCATGGAGGATTAGTCGAAACAGGACGGAAATACTTCAAAGAGATGAAAGAACAAAAGATCGAACCGTCACAGACCCATTATGCATGTATGGTTGATCTTTTTGGTCGAGCGGGGCTAATGGACGAGGCTGTAGAGATGATCAACGGGTTGCCGGTGGAACCTGGTGCGAACGTTTGGGGTTCGTTGCTTGGAGCTTGTCGAATTCATGGGAATATTGAGTTGGGTCACTGGGCTGCTGACCATCTTTTTAAGCTAAAACCATATCATTCAGGGTATTACACATTGCTTTCTAATATGTATGCAGAAGTAGGGAAGTGGTATGAAGTTGATAAGATTAGAGAGTTGATGAAGGTAAGGGGAGTGAAGAAGAACCCTGGTTTTAGTTGGGCTCAAGCTGCACAGACTGGGTAAGCGTTTATCAGGTAAAAATATGGTTTAGGTCAGTATTAATTATTGAGGATGCGTTTGGTACACTCGACAGGAGATTATATAACAGAAAGGGTCTTTTCTTCTGTCTGAATCGATATTATTCCATTCCAATTGGATCATCATTGTTCCATGTTTGACATGACTTATACGTGGAATAGAGTGGAACAAAGTGGGGTTTTCACCTCCATCCCATGGAACAAGGTGGAATACATCTATGTTTTATCAATATAATCTTAAAATAAAACCTAATATCTTTGGTAAAGACCTGGTTTTAGTTGGGCTCGGGCTCAGGGACAGACATAGAATTTTTTTCAAGTGGGGATACTATTTGACTATAAGAAACAAATATATAACCGCAAGGGTGGTGCCTGATTGGTTTGAGTTTAGCTCCAAAAGTCAAAAGTACCAGGAGGTTTCAGGTTCAAATCCAATGAGGATTAAAAATCCCCTTGTGGACACGGAGATTCAAATGCGGTGACTCTGGGCTATCTGCAAAGCAGGTGGTCGTCCTAGGATTAGTCGGCTCGCATAGCGGGTTGGATATCCAGGTTAATTAAAAAAAAAAAAAAACAAATATATGTATATCTTTTAGAAAATTATCAATAGTCTGTTGTTTAGTTCATTGTTTTTCATAATTGGCGTCCTAGATTCAAGTCTTTTATTGCAAATTTTTTCTTAACATAATATGAAATTAAAAGCTAAAAATTAAGAAAATGAGACTAACATGATTCAAACTATGTATTGGCATATAACAAATTGATACAACGACACTTTTCACGGCCTTCTAGTTCTTACATTACGACAAAGGAACAAAGCAGTGACCCATGCTACCATATATAATACAGTGGGTCCATCCTTGCTCAGGCTGTATAAACTGGATAAATGTTAACCGGATAAGAGTATGGTCTGAATCAATATAAATCACAGAGAGGTAAGAGTGCGATTTGGATATACAACAATACTACAAGGTAAAAGTATAGTCTGGGTCAATGCTAATTACTCTATTTTTTTATAAAAAATAATTATATATTCAACCTTTTTTTTTTATTAACTTGGATATCCAACCCGTTATGCGAACCGATTAATTCCGGGATGACCACCTGTTTTGCAGATAGCCCGGAGTCATCACATTTAAACCTCCGTGGTCACAAGGGGATTTTTATTTCTTCTTGAATTTCAACCTTATCAGTAACGAATATTAAGTTTTATAGATTTGAAGATTTATAGTTTTTTTTTTTTTACTTTTTATAGAATATTTAAGAGTTGATTATAAACTTTGAAAAGAACACAAGATTTTAACCATTTGGGTTGTAGCATACCGGTAATCCTTAGGGGATATAGTAAAAATCTCATATCATTCGGGGAATGTAGTGAAAATCTCATATTTTTTGGGTTTTAATCTAGACTAGGGGTGCTAAAAAATGCGACAAACCCAATTCAACTCAACCTGAAGCAACCTGATGTCTAATCGAGTTGTAAAATTTTCAAACCGTAAGTATTGAGTTGAAATTAGGTTATTATTATTTAAATTCAACTCAACCCGATGAACTCGATATCATTGTATTTCTTGGATTTAATATGATTGTTGAGTTTCAATTAATACATACATTACACAATTACATTATCACATACCCTCTTCATATACACATGTTTTCAATCTATTCAATGTCTCTGTAAACTCATTCGTATATATGTACATTGATAAAATTAATTGAGTGCGATATACGTAAAATTTAATAAATATGAATAAGTTGTATCAAATGGTTGATAATGAAAAATAAATTATGATTAAAGAAATAACATATTCAATGTTAGAAGAATATTTTAATGTATCAAAATTATCAATACGACTAACCCCGACCAACCCGTACGGTTTGGGTTGGGTTAAGTTAAAAATTTTCAAACTACAAGTATTAGGTTGAGTTGTTTAATTATCTTCAACCCGATATTAGAACCCTTATCATCATCCAAGAAGTTAATCGATGTACGTAAATTGACTCGAAAACCTCGGTTACAAAAAAGAATAAAAAAATTCCAAATTGATTATATGATTTTTATTTTAAAACGAAGTTTATTTAATTTAATACTTTATGAATTATTTAATTTTCAATTAAAAAAATAAATGCCGTGGGGAAAAAGAATACAAAGAAGTGAAGAACCTTCCAGACCCATAATTTTCCAAATTCCATTTTATTTCGATTGGGAACGTTCCAGACCGTCCAGTCCTCTATATAAAGGTCCGTCTCCTCCATCTTCCATTAACGCTATTGATATCAATTCTTCATTTCTTCGTAACCACTTATCTATCTCTCGATCGTTTTAAGGGAACGGTATGCCAACGAGACCTACCGGATCGGTGTCGCAAGATTGGGAGCCGGTGGTGCTCCATAAATCCAGACCGAAGTCACAGGTCCTTCGTGATCCCAAGGCCGTGAACCAGGCCCTCCGGTCCGGCGCTCAAGTCCAGACGGTGAAGAAATTCGACGGCGGATCGAACAAAAAAGCACCGGCGACTGCGGTTTATGCTAGAAAGCTTGATGAGGCCGCCGAGCCAGCAGCACTTGACAGGGTGGCGCCGGAAGTGAGGCAGTTGATTCAGAAGGCGAGGATAGATAAGAAGATTAGCCAGGMTGATCTCGCGAAGCAGATCAACGAGAGGCCTCAGGTGGTTCAGGAGTACGAGAACGGGAAAGCGGTTCCAAATCAGGCTGTTTTGGCTTAGATGGAGAGAGTTCTTGGCGTAAAGCTTCGAGGAAAGATTCACAAGTAATTTTCATTCTCCTACATAAACGAAATCTAGATTCTAGTTTTCAATGCTGTTGGTGCGGGTTTGGTTGGAGATTTGTGGTAAAATTGCTCATTGGAATCGTTTGTGTTGTAAAAAGTAACGTGATCAAATGAGCAATTATATGTATTATAGAAAGCAAGGTGATATCCGAGATTCGGCAATAATTTCCGTGCTCAATTTGAATTCTTCTTCTATTATTGAAAGATCCCCCAATTTTTTTATTTTGACATGCATCGGTCATGTGTAATACAAATTTACAATGGTCTGAAATGATCCAATTTCCGATCATCATGCCGCCGGGAGTGTTCTCCGGCGTGCTATTTTAAGATGAATCTCCTTATTGCATCGCCTCTGCATAGAAAATTCTTCAAATTCATTTCACGGATATTACAGACACATATCTGCTTCTTCTATCATGATGATGAATGTGAAAATGAAAAAGAACCCATATGTTACAGTGTAATAATCTTTTCTGATTAAAGCACCCTACTTGACAAAAAAAACTTGTGGGTTAGTTTGTTTATTTTTTAATAGTTTCATTAAAAGGTAACATTGAATCGTTAAAAGGTGAATCGTGTTTAGCAAAAAAAGCTTTGCCTCCTAACGATTCTAATTGTTTAGCAAAAAAAGCTCTGCCTTCTAACGATTCTAAATCATTTGAATAATTTTGTATAATGTGTGTTTCTTTAACTATTCAGTGTTATGATTTCATTGTAAAAAATTATCAAATAATTATATTTCAGATTGGATTATATAATGATAGTAATGTAGTATTCAACTCATTATTTGCTGAAACATTAATCGGGTATTATATTATTTGTCATATCAATATGGTAATTAATTAATGTTTTAACCGGTTATTTAAATGTTTAAAACTTTACATTTTAGGTATAAAAAATGTAAGTTCTAAAAGTAAGTTATCCAAAAAATATGTTATCTTTTCATGTAATTTACCATTTTTGTATATATCGAGCAAATACCGTACAAGTACCATCACTTGTATGGCATTTTCACTAGTAACTTTTGTATATATAGGCTACAATTATGATGCCATAATTTTTCATTCATGATTTGAAAAGAAGTAAGAGGGGCAAAACAAAATAAGTGAGAGATGAGTGGAAAAAATAAATAAAAATAGTAAAATTGAAAAATTAAAAGAAGGGTATGCTTGTGGATAAATTTTGGAAAATTGTGAGAATTGTTATATCAAGGGTTTGTTTGTCTCATGCTGAAGAATGAAAATAACAGTGAATGAAAATAACAGTGAATTTTCATTCCCCTCGATTTTCTCGTTATATTATTAAAACCAAACAGTTTCTTTTATTTTATTTTTCATTGATTACTGTTTAATACTTTTAACCAAACATCCCATAATAGTCATTCATTAATAATGGTTTGAAAAAGAAATGGCGTAAGTGAAATATCCGGGGGGAAAATATGACCATCATGTTCATGCCTTGAGCCTTTGTGATATGGTAATGTCATTAGGGTGTTTCTATGTTTCGTGCAACATAGCTCTAAGCATGTCGTTTGAAGAACACACTATTAACCCGATCAGAAACACTCACTGATTTATGTGTCATGCATGAAAGACGCAACAGCTTACAAGGCTTGGGAATTGGAGGATTTGTGGTTGGTCCAAACAGGTCGTTAGGGTGTGTCACAGGTGCCATTGATGCCACCGTCGCCATTGCCACCAGGTCTTCGGCCATCGATATTTCTTGATTTGGAAATTGAAGGGGATGACAATGTGCGTGTTATAAATTCATTGGAACAAAATTGAAATTGAAGACAACTGATTAAACGCGTTATATATATGCACAAAATTTGGATTTCCAAGTTGAATCCCTGCTTGTTAAAATTGGGTTCGTAGCGGCAGGTATAGATGCAAATACGCACAAAATGTAGATTCACATGTCAAATATCATCTAATACAATTATGACTAAAATGCATCAAAAGATGGTAACACGTACATCATAACAACCACACCATAAATAATTAGACGGTTCAACAAAAAGTACTATACAATTAAAGTAATTAAGTCATAACCATTAAAGACCTTAAACATTAAACCAAAACAAAAAAAAAGGGTAAATAATATTCGGGTTTTGGGTCAGATCCAGTGACGTAATTATATGCCCTGCCTGAACCTATATATCCAACAGAAATTTCGGGTTTTGGATCTCAAGAATAATCGGGTGATTAGAGTCGGGTTGTTTGTGATATGGGTGCTCGAAAAAACGTTGGACTGCTCAAATTAGTCGAACCAAGTGAAACCAAACCGTCTTTGGCGGTTTGATGGTCCAGTTTGGTCTGAAAAATAGTCAAACTGCCTGGTATGCAGCTTGAACGTTTTTTTTTCAACGGTCTGAACCAAACCGATCGCCAAAAATACACATGTAAAACACGAATGCTCCAAAAATTGTAAATCATATGAGCTAAAATAACTATAAAATAAAAACTATAGAAACAAAAATCTCAATTTTTAACAAACCACAGTAGGGAAAAACCCGACTCGTCCGAAATTTGAACTCGAGTCGAAAATAAAGTGTTTATGTAAAACATGAATGCTTCGAAAACCGACTTTTTGGGGGAAAATTTGGGGGTTAGGTTTGATTTTTGGCCACGAGATATGTCCGAACCCGAAATATACACACATATATATTATAAATATTATATAACTCGAACTCGACCGACTTCAATCCGAAACCTGACCAAGCCAGAACTCGGAGTAATACAAAACCGAAAACCCAAAATTTAGGGCTTGATTTCCATATCCGAAATCTGGTCGGATTTTGGATTTGCCCACCTGACCCGTCCGTACCGCCCGATGCGCACCGCTAAACCACAGGGACTAAAATAGCAATTTTTAAAATCACAGGGGCAAAAAACGTAATTTACTCTAACAGCTTATTGATGCAGATCCTTTTTGATAACAAATCTCAAACCCTAGCTTCCATCTTCACAGCTATGGCGATGGCAATGGCCGCAAAGATCGCAAGATCATTTCTAACCCTCCGCTCTTCATCTTCCATCACAAAACCCTCTCCTCTATCATTTCCGTCGGAATCATCTCTCTCCCACTCTCTTTCCGCCGCTAATCTGAACCGATCGGCAGGTCCATATTCGCCGATCAACTCCCGCTTCAACTCGATTCCGCCATTGTTTCGTGGACTTGATGTTTCCTTCCGGTTCTACAGTACCGCTGTTCAAATTCAACGAATGAGGTTCCCTAAATTCAGAAAAGGAAGAATCGAAGGAATTCGTGATGGAGGTAACGAGATTTGTTTCGGTAAATACGCTCTTCAGGCACTTGAACCCGCTCGGATCACATCTAAACAGCTCGAAGCTGGTCGAAGAGCATTGCAACTGAATGTACGTCGCGGCGGCAAAGGAGGTAAGGTTTGGGTTCGTATTTTTCCATATAAATCTGTGACTGCGAAACCTGCTGAAGTACGAATGGGTAGAGGGAAAGGATCAATTTCACATTGGGTAGCACCTGTTCAATCAGGTCAAATCCTGTATGAAATGGGAGGAGTAACAGAAAGTTTGGCCAAAAGAGCCATACAAATTGCAGGTTCTAAGTTGCCTATTCGAACTAGATCCATAATTCGGGATGCAAAAACTAGAGAAATTGGCATTCGATGAATAGGGTTTTTGATGATCTTAGAATCTAAAGGTTCCTTCCATGTTTAGTTTTGTTTTTCTGTATCATCTGAGACTAAATCTTTTAGGAATTTGAAGTTTTCTTTTTGGAGTAATTGCTGTCACCCATTTGCTAATAATCATGTTATATCCAACCATGCTTGAATAGTAACACAACATGAAGTTCTTGTGGACTTAAATTGGTTCAACAGTTTTGTGAATGATGATTATGAAATTTTAATTTAAAGTTGAAGGAAGTTATTGCTTTTCTATATGGTTTTTGTGCCATTTCTTTGTGGTGGATCTAGATTCTAGAACTTGGCTGTTTGGCATGCAAAATGATTAAGTGGTCAGAATGATTAAGAGGCTCTCATGATATAGTGCAAAATGAAATATAATTGTTTGGTAATTGTGTACAATGAAATTAGGGCTCTTAATGGTTAAGGGAGATCCCAAATACAAAATCATTCAGAGGGTTTTAGAACCATTTAAGAGGCAGACATTTTTTTTGCTAAACAAGATTCACCTCTTAACAATTCAGAGGTTGCCTCTTAATGGAACTATTAAGAGATAAATAAACAACCCCTAAAATCTTCCATATGTTTATATTTGTCCACTCGGTTGTCGTTAGATCGAGAGTTCTGTTAGGAACTACTTGTACTCCTAAGCATACAAGTTGAATACTGGAATGAACACACATGACTTAATGAATTGCTTGAAGTTGGGACAGGCCTAATGATGGGAAGGGCAAATAGCCATCTTTTATTGAATTCATCCACTGCCTGCTGCCATTGTTTAAGAAGTTACAAAGCTTGAATTTTCTAAGCACAAAAAGGCTTGGGACTGCTAGGCTTGGGGTTAGGGCCGTTAGGCAATTCATAGATGTTCTCTTTAATGTCGATTTTGGCTATTACTACCCAGAAAAATGGATGAAAATGCTGGATTTTACTTAACGTAAATGCTAAGCAGTTTAGAGTTGTGCTATAGCAGTTTGCGGGCCTTGGCAAAATAGTGATTAGCGGTTATAGTGCTTCTGCTAATGCTGGTGCTATGGAGCGGAATTGGGCCAATTTTTAAAAATCGTTCATGTCGTTTTCTTTGTTACACAGAACTTCCTTTTCAACACTTTGTGAGCTTCATAATCTTTCATGTCATTGTAGCAATATGCATGCATACCCATGAAGTCTGCTTTTAGCTATGCATGATGACTACCTTGCATTTGTTTTTGGTTTTGTATGTGCATATTTGTAGCGCGCTTATTTATGATCCACTTTCAAGTATAGATTGCGTAGAAAATCCCACTTGAAAGTAGGGTTTGGGAGGGTGAGATGGACAACGGACCTGACCTCTACCTCAAAAGTGTGTGAGAGAGAGAGAGAAGAGAAACTCAAGTGCCTAAATATTTGACATGTTGTTTGGTCTTTGATGTCATAGGTAGTTATAAACTACATGCTGCAATTGAGATCCCAAAACTAGAGATGGAAACAGGGTAATGCAACCCCGTCTCCGACCCCTGACTAATCCCGACTGGTTTGGGGGGAAGGAATCCTTGATGGGTTTGGGGAACCCGTTGAGTTAAAAAACAATAAAAGTATTGTATTAACCACAAGGGTGGTGCCTGATTAGTTTGAGCTGTGCTCCAAAGGTCAAAAGTACCAGGAGGTTCCAGGTTCAAATCCAAGTAGAAATAAAAATTCCCTTGTGGCCACGGAGGTTCAAATGCGGTGACTCTGGGCTATCTGCAAAGCAGGTTGTCGCCTTGGGATTAGTCGGCTCGCATAGCAAGTTGGATGTCCAGGTTAATAAAAAAATACTGTATTTTAAAATAAAAATTACAATAAATCATCATTAAATTAATTACCAATATAAAAAATATCTTATATAATAATAAAGAAATATAAATATATACATATACTGCAAATATATTTACATTAGTTTATAAACAATAGTTTAACCGGGGTCGGATTAAGGGTAGGCAATGCCATCCTCGACCCTGTCCTGCCCCTGCTTATAGTATGAAAACAAACCCCATCTCTGTCTTGTTACCCGACAAAGCGGAGAATCCCAACAAATTAGGGTTGGGTACCCGTCCTCACAAGTAAAATTTTCATATCTACCCAAGGGAATTTTTCGGGTGGTTTGGTTATGCATCTTGCAGACCCGTCGTTCGAACTTTTGTTTTCTTGTTAATATTGTTATTTGCCTTTAAAAAAAATTAAAATAAATATGAAGGTTTGCAATACATTTGCATATTCGGAACTTGAACAGAGTACAAATCAAATACAAACTATATAAATGTTACAAGTCATATAAACCAATTTCAGTCGTTCAGTTAGTCTAACAAATATCTGATTTCACAAGTATATCAGTTGTTTCCTGATATAAAAGTTGATCATAATAAATGAACCTGTATCATTTCATATATGAATATGGATGTCAAATTAACGAATAAAATATGATTGTTTTTTGGTGTAATTTGTTTCGTTCGAATTTTGATCATATTTTGTATTTTTTTCGACTTATAAAACAGGGGGTTGAGAGATTTTTTTATTTAAAAATAAAGTTGTAACCGTCTCTTTAGTGGAAGGTTTACATTAAAAGATTAAGTGTTGTGAGAAAGTAAGGTGGCGTTTGTTTTTTAAGAGGTGCTGAAGTCTGAAGTCTTATTTTACTTCTGATTTATAAGAGGTGGTGCTGACGTCTGAAATCTGAATAAAAAAGAATGTTTGTTTTTGTAAACTGATAAACATCTTTAAATTGTATATTTTACCTATTAAAAAAGTTATATTCTTGAATTTATACATAAAATTTATACATTTTCACATATTTATTCATTATCATTACGAAATTGACATCTAAATTATAATTAACATTCATTTAAACGAAAATATCTCATTAATGTATTAGCACATTTAAATACTATTAAAATACATCAATTGAGAGACGTGAAGATTTATATGGTAAGGATTGATTGAGAGAAACGATCGATTAAGGTTAATCGATGAGAAACGTCGTTGTTGAGGGTTTGAAGAACAATAAGAGGTAGGTTTACCTTTTACCAGATAAGATGACAATAATACATAAGGGCCTTTAAAAAATTGAAAAAAACAAACAGTGTAATGACCTTACCTCTTAACGAATCAGATATAAGAGACTAATAAGAGCTTTTTTTTTTAATAAAAAAACAAACAAGGACTAAGAATTAAGATTTAAGAAGATGTTTCATATTTGAATCATTAAAAAAAATTCAATTAAAAATATATTTTTTTTCTCATTTTTTCAATGAATTCACATATAAACCTTCTAATATTTTCTCAACGGATTTTCACATATGAAATATTCATTATTTTTTACTGATTTACATATGAATTTTCCTTTTTTTTTTTTTTAATATATTCATATATGAATATTTTCTTCTTGTCTTTTTACGATATTTAGTCTTTTTATTTAAACAGACGGTAAATGTTACATACTTATATTTTTGGGAAATTACCCAAAATGACCATTTTATACATGGTACGTTAACAAAATGACTATTTTTCAGAGATTTTTCATAACATGACCACCATGTATACCATTTGGGGATTTTGACTATTTTGGGGTGATTATAAATGAAATCGCCCCAAAATAATCAAAATCGTCCTTCATGGTGGTCATTTTGTGAAAAAGTTTTGAAAAACAGTCATTTTTAACTTTAATATATTTTTATATGCATATCCATCCTATTTTATTGTTTTAGTTTTACTTGGAAATTACTTAATATTATTCATCTATACTATATTATAAAACATTTGACAAAATTTATTAAAAATGATTTTTTATGCATATAGTGTCGTTTATTGATGCATATTACTTAAAATTCAAGATTACAAGTAAATTATGGTTAAGTACAACTTATTCAAGCTTCATTTTTTAATTTATGTAACTAACTATAGATAAAGATAATCAAATTCGAGATAGACATCTCATTTTAAATATAAAAAATCTAAAATATAATTATGATAATCATTAGTTATAACAAAATACTTAATTGTTATCTTTATAAAAATTATATTATTAAA